CCCGCATATGATTATGCATCAACGAATGGTTGATGCCTCTAAAGAATTTGTTGCTGAGATTGGTGCATATGTCCATGGATATGGCCATGATACCAAGAATAATATGGCTGCTCGAACGATCGAAGGTATCTACATGGGACCCACCGACGATATTCAAGAAGGGCACCGTATATATGATCTGAACACAAAGTGCGAGGCACAACGTGCGAAGATCAAGGTTCTTCCGATGACTGACCAAGTCATCAAGATTATTGAAGAAGACGCAAGATTGGAAGGAGTGATGGAATTACGCACCTATTCCAAGCGTAATGGCGAGCTAATCCTCGATGGTGATTTGCTCGAAGGAGTGGACCCAGATGAACTGTGGGATGAAAACTACGTACCAGTAAACGAAATCGAGAGGCTGAGTGATGTAACCCTCCGAAATGAAAATATTCCAGATGACAAACTTGATGAATTACTAATGGATGCTGAAGCAGACATCATGGAAACGAGGTTCGACAGGGACAGGAACCCAAGATACGATAGCGAGGCGAATCAATATGAAGATGAGCTAGAGGACAAAATGTTTGATAGAATGTTCAAGAAGATTAAGGCTAGACAAGATGCTGAAGATCTGATGGACGAAGACTACCAAGAACACGAATGGATAGCTGCCAATGAGGACATGGACTACAAAGACGAATACGAGTCTGAATTAGACGATGACAAAGCCAAGCAAATGTTAGACGAACTGGCAGCTGAGTTAGTGGAACTTGGGAGACCTGACGAAGAAGAAGTTCTGTTCGATTTTGATGATGACACACAAGAAGATGTGACAGTTGAATCAGAAGAGGAAGATGATGTTGCTCGCGCAGGAGTGAGATTCGCGGACACAGATGATAACGAGTCCGACACCAAAGGAATTGTGAGAAGTTACAGTGACGACGGTGTCGAGGTTGGAGCGAAAAGGGTACTTCGTCCAAGACACAATCGATCCTAATTCTCACAAGGGGTAAAAATGAGACCCATTGAGAGATACAGAAGAGCGAAATCAAGATTTGGGCAGGCATACCTACAAAGAAAGAATCCGCCTGTGCCAAACGTTTTGAGAAACAGGCGTGCGATGAGAAGAAAAGCATGAATGAAAAGACTCCGAGTCTCGTTGTATCAAGCAATCAAGAAAAGAATTGACACGCAAAGAAAGGGAGCACAGTTGCAAGGGAACCATAAGTACGAGCGTTCCATCCGAGAACGCATGCACAATTTGGCATTCCAGCAAGTCGGAAACACAAACAAAGGCGAATATGACGCGGACAAAGCGTTGGTAGTCGCTCGTGTTATTCAACAGATACGTGATGGTGTCAACGGTGGTATCGATGGGCAAGACGGAGTCTTGTTTATTCAGCAATACTATCTGAATAAAGGACTGAAGATATTCAAGGAGCGAGGTAAAGACACGGCCATGAAAGAACTTGACCAACTGATCAAGCGCAGTTGCTGGATGTTAGAATAAAGCAAAATGTGCTCTATCGTGAGTGCCTTTAGCTCTCAGAACAAACTCTCTGCAATCTAAATTCGTAATCGATTGTACAACACTTCCACGACAATAGTTCTCCTGTGTCTAGGTATACTTTGAGTGAAATTGTTCCTATTTGATTAATGTTTGGCTTGAATTGATGATTCAATCACAAACGTGAGTTCGACGATTTTCCCTTGGAAAATCCCTTGTTTACAGAACTCGATTCGACTTCTACGACAATTCTGTGTTGAATGCAGTACTTTGGGATATCTTGCATTATTCCCTACTGCATCGTACACAA